GGCGTCAGCCTAGCAAGCCCTGGCTAGTTGGGAGAATGAATCAGCAGATGTAAGACTTTTTGTTCCACTTGTTTCTCTCACCCCCTCTCTCTCCTTTTCTCTTTTCCCTCCTCCCTCCTTCTCTCTTTCTTTCTTTCCCTTCTTCCCCCCCGTCACCGTACCTTTCAAAATACTCTTCAAAACATGAAACAAAAACATGCACATAGCAACAGAGACTGGCTGTGCAAAGTCTGAACTGCTAGATAGAATCCTGAATTTTCTTTTCCATTCCATCAGACAAATTTTTAAATCAAACTGAGTTTTCAGCCAGTGCCTTTTTTCTTCAAGTAGGTAAAACTTGGGGAGCTGAAGATAGCTAGATGTAGGGAGTCTTTGAACTGCATGTAAAGAGAAAGGTTGGCAGCCAGGACCTTTTTCTTTTTCTTGGTTTTCCATTCATTCCTGATCATTACTTAATAATCCATCTCCTGCCCTACATCCACAGCGAGGCTGAGAAAAAAAGAGAAAACAACTTAAAAAAATAAACTTTACGGAGCTGGTGCAGTGGTGTAGCTTGCTAATTCTCTATCAGTAGTACTGGTATCCCCTGTGGGCACCAGGTGTGTGTCCTGGCTGCTCCATAACTGATCCAGCTCTCTGCTTATAGCCAGAAAATGCAACAGAGAATGGCTCAAGTCCTTGAGACTCTGCACCCAGATGGGAAACCCAGAGGAAGCTCCTGTTTCCTGGCTTTGGATCAACTTCAGCTCCAACCATTTTGGTTATTTGGGAAGCAAGTCAGTGGTTGGAAGATTCTTTCTTTCACCTCTGTATCTGTAAATCAGTCCAATAAAGATAAATCTTTTAAAAATAAAACAATGAGAATAATCTTTACGTGCCCAAAAGACATGATATTTAGATAAGTCCTCCTAGGCCTTTGCACGCTAAGCTCTACTGTGTACAGTGTTCTGTGTGCTGAAGGAGGAAGACGGGGAAGGGTGAAACATACCAAATCAGATACTCAAACACCCTCTGTTCTGCAACCAACCTGCTCCATCCTTAGAGACCACCGTCCAGGCCTGGTCCTTGGCTGGAAGGACCAATTGTATCTTATTGTGCAGGAGCAGTCACTTGAGTAACAATAGAACAGTGAATGAGGTGACCATCCAGCATCTTGGTGAGACTGGAAATCACCACCACTAACCACCATCCCCACCATCCCAAACACTGTCCTCAGCTTAGCCTTTTTCTGTTGTTCCCTATTCCCCGTCATGCTCATGCACAGACAGGTGTAGGGAGAAATGTTCATAGAAATCAGTCTCACCCTGCCCCTGAATCTACTTAATTTCCAAAGCAGACAAAGCCTCTGAATCTTTTATTGTTCCAAGTGTAGATCTTTGCCTTATGAAGAAGCAACGTGGGATAGACAAAAAACCGCAGAAAAACTATGGCTTTGAAACTGTAATTGTGTTTCATATTGTTAGAGGAACAACAGGTAGAGACTAGGAATTGAGAGACTAGGAATTGAGAATAAACTCCTGTTTATTCTCCTGTTTCTATTGTAGTTAGGAGCCTACTGGAAGACATCAGTTCAAATTACTATCTTTCTAAGTACTATCTTTCTAATTACTATCTTTCTAGCTATTGGCAACAGGTTGAAGAATTCCATTTGCTAGCAACAAGACAGTTGTCACAGTGATATGAGTTAAGTGATCTTCTAAGCATTAGCAACTTTCTATATCAGCAAAATCCACCTTAATTCATTCTTAGTCACACACTGGACAGAGCTTCTCTTCAAACAAACACTAGCTAGACTTCTAAGCACTCTTCTCATCCAGGCCTCAGCCTTGGCCTATGAAAACTCTGCACTTTGCATAGATGAATTCATCTGCCAGTTTCTACCACCACTCCATTAAAGCCACCTAGCAAACAAACAAACAAAAACAACAACAAAAAAATTGGATTTAAAAAAATCAGCATTTCTGAGATACAGCATAACACAGGAGAGATAATCAGGGTACCAGGTCCAAGCATACATGCAAATCTTACCATTGTGTGTCTGACACACACGGCTCTTTAATCGTACACATGAGGTGGAAGGATGCTGCTAATGACCTGAGCCAAAACAGCTGGGATTCCAGTGGCCTGGGTTAAGTACCTGCATGAGACTTTAAGTCACAATTCTGGGCCATTCATTGGGTATGTACTGATCTTATCTAGGACAAAGGAAACTCGAACCATTTCTTGCTCCTATGATCAAAACTGCTAGTGCATACTGACCCTTAATTCAGTTGCTCTCAATTCCCATCACTTAAATATACATGTGCTGTCTCTAAAATCCTCTGCCCTCTCTTGAACATACTCTGGCCTCCTGATGTGCTTCGGTAACAGAATGTGATGAAGTTAGTGTGCCGAAAGTTCACGCACTGAGGTATGTGGTTATCTCTTCATCCTCTCAGGATCCTGGGGACAAACTGTTGAGTGATGAGAGTCTGCTTAGGGACATTAAGACTTAGCCAACTCTCACACTCCAGATCAGAGTGCCTGGGTTGAATTCCAGGCGCTCCCTTTGACTCCAGCTGCCTGCTGGTGCAGACACGGGAAGGCAGCAGGGACTGATTCAACCACTTGTATGCCTGCTACCCACATGGGAGAACTGGGCTTTTGGCTTTGGTCCCAGTCCCAAGTCATTCTGGTATCTGCGAAGTGTATCAGTAAGAGCTTCTCTGTCTCTGTCTCTTTGCCAAGGAGGAGAGAGGAAGGTAGAAGAATTGTCTTCTGCAGTCTTGAAAGAAGGTCTCTGAATCATGGCTGTTTTTCAACACTATGTGCTGCCCCAAAGTCAAAGATTAAAACAAACAAACAAACAAAAACCCAATTCAGTGAATGTTTGTATCTTTTTAGAGAGATTTTCCAAGCAGATCATCAAAGTATTCGTGAAGATAATATGGCATTAAAAATAAAGACATGAAGTAAGGAAATATGCATCCTATAAGCAGAATTCAGAGAAAAATAGAGAGCCTAATATCCTCTCAATTAGACAAAAAAGCTCTTATTGCATTTAATTTCTAAAATATTTTCTATATTAATGTTTCTGGCTGTAGAGTAATTATTTTTTCCTAGCTCAACTTTTTTTTCTTTCTAAAAAATCTTTATCTGTGAGAGAGGGAGACAAAAAAAGGAAGACAATGTAAGAGAAAGCCCTCCCACCTGCTGATTTACTCCCCAGATGCACACAGTAACTAGTGCTGAGCAGGGAGCCTAGAATTTCATCTAGATTCTCTACATGAATGGCAGGAACTCAGTTAATGGAGCCATCACTGCTACCTGCACCAGCAGTAAGGTGGAGCTGAGTATCCAGCCCAGGCTGAAATTGGTAACGAAACCAAACCTCGAACCCAGGCACTTTGATGTGGAATGTGGGTGTCCCACACTTGCAATGGGCTGCTAGGTCAAATGCCTGTTCTAAGAAGTTCTTTTTTGTTTTGTTTGTTTTTTTTTCTAAGATTTATTTTTACTGGAAAGTCAGATATACAGAGAGGAAGAGAAACAGGAAGATCTTCCATCTGCTGATTCACTCCCCAAGTGGCCGCAATGGCCAGAGCTGCGCCAATCCAAAGCCAGGAACCAGGAGCCTCTTCCGGGTCTTCCAAGGCTTTGGGCCATCCTCGACTGCTTTCCCAGTCCACAAGAACCAGGTGTCACATGCCAGATTGTATGCAGAATCTCTTTGGAGCATTGACCAACATATATCTCATTTCCTAATCTTTGAACAGAAGTATTTACAACTGCCTTATCCTTCCCTCACTGTCACACATTTTAATGAGTTGAGAATCAGGAAACAAGTCTTTGTAGCTCACGTTTCTGAATCAAGAGAAGCCCACATGATAAGCCTCATCAAAGTCAGACCTGATACAGAGAAATCCTAGTCTTTGAGTCTTGATATAATTCAACTGGTTTCTAGAGAAGGCAAGTGAATTTTACATGTAGAAGACATATGAAAGTCTGGATCTAAGAGGTATGCTATGGTATATCATGTCAGAGGTAATTATTATTTTTTAAATCACCAAATTTTGGGCTATTACACAACAATTCACCAAAACACCTTCTTAAACATAAGGGGTAAACTGCAAAGCACAATTCGTTAACATATTAAATTCTTCTTTAGTTCTTTAGCCTTTATTGTTTTGGTCTTTTTTTAAACTTAATTTCTGATAAATATGGATTTTAAAACAGTATAATTTAATAAAATATTTCTAAGTACTGATGAGGTAATAATTAATGCTAACAGTTTTTGTACACACACACACACACAAACACAAACTGAGTTTACCTTGAACCTATATAAGACCATAGAGCATAGGCTAATGGTTACATACTTGGTTATAATAACTCAAAGTAAACTGTTATGATTGCACCAACATAAAGAAAAATAAACTTAACATTACATGACATTTCATGTATCACAGACCTCTCAATTAAAAAACTATTTATATTATTTAGTCAGTTTTCTACAGGCTATTCTCTACTAAGCAATTTCTTTTTCCTATTTACCCAAATGTGGCAGGATCAAAAATAACTATTCTTGGAAGCCTACCTACACTACCTAAAAGCACTTAACTCAGCAGCGTCAATGAGACTTATTATACACATTAGCCAAATGAATAACCTGGCAAGCAGCTACAAAATGAGAACTCTAAACATGCAAGCCACAAACAAAAAGCAGGACATTGGGCCATGCCATTGACAGAAATCATGATGCGAATAGCACCCTGTACTTGTGTAACACAGCAACACTATAGAGAGAAATTATGGTGGGTAAAGATAAAATATGACCTCCCCCTTCTCACCCTTAGATACTTAGCAACAGCTCAAATACACAAATGCAACAACCCTGCGTTACTGGTAGATTTAAAAGGATGAGCTTGACCTTCAGGAGTGCAACACAAGAACAGTGAAGAGTGTAAGATGTATATAAGTAACATCATCACACATACAGAGGATGCAGCGATGCAGCTTACCTGACATGCTGATGGGTGGGTGTGGTTGAGATCCCAATGGGAAGACACTATGTCAACAGATTTTTTGGCCATGTTGAGTAAATTCATCCAGCCTTGGAATAGTGATAAGTGAAATGGTGCATTTTCTGAATAGTTAAGGCCTTCAGGAATATTTTCCACCAGGGCAATTCTTAAAAAAGATTTTTGAAAAACAAACACACAAAATCTAGTCAAATTTGAAGTCATAGATTGTTCTTAATGCATGCATACAGAGACAAAATAAAAACGCTGTTTACTATTTATGAATATATACTTCCCTCCTAATTTATATTTTTCCATCAGAGCCCTCTTACTTGAATCTTGTGCTAATATACTGTAGTCCAGGAGTTAATATTCTGCTTTTCCATAGGGAGGACTTTTATTTCAGAGGATCAAGGTACATATCTTGAAAGTTCAATTCCAAACAAGCCTTGAAAAGTACTCAGAGCTTCCTAAGCAAATATCTGCTCTTGCAGAATTGCAACAGTGTAATTCTCATGGAAGATATTGCTACAGTTATGTTTTGCTTATTCACAGCTTCTCCCACAATGTTAGGTAAATACTGATGTTAAATCAAGATGATGATTATTGTTTAACACGTGATTGGGTGCTTCCCAGCCAAAAAAGTTAAAGTGATACTGAGAAGAAACATATGAAATCTGTCTTTTGCAGAATTTTATCAAAGTCACAGACAAGCTATGTATAACATATCATATTCAAGCTTATTTAATCAGTGTATGAACTGTAACTAGCACTGTCCTAATTGATTTTTCTTCTTATAATGTGTATGTATTAAATAGTACTTGTCTACTGAAACTGGTTTTCCTTCATATAGCTTCTCAGGCTGTATTTATTTCATGTCTCATTTAGGGTATATACAATTTAATAAAGAAAGGAATAATTTTTCTAGATGAATAAATGCATGTTATTCTGCAATTCTTGGTAGAAAATCTCCAAACTTTCGTGTAGATACTAAGTTCCTTCAGCCTAGGTTGCTTTATTCACAGTTGGATGCTCAGAACAAATATATAGTTCAAGATCAGTGAATATGTATAGAACAAATTTCTGCACTTCTCAACAAATTATTCTGAGAGTCTATTAAATGTAGACATTTCCTTTAGCCAACCTGGAAATAAAAACAATACTGCTAGGGAAATGCTTTTGTGTATCTGATGGTCCATAAGTGGCCCAGAGACATACACACTTTCAGGATTCAGTTTCCCTTTCACTTACCTACAAGATTTTTGTAACATTTGCTGATGCCTTCTAAAAATAGGACAAGCAGAGCTCTATATGACTTGGAGAGTGGCTAGGATGGTTGAAGGGCGTGGGGCACTCACTTAATCCTGGCATTTGCTCATCTCTCCTGTGTATTACAGGCACCTATACTCAAACTGCTTAGCTGGATAACAACAGGCAGTGGCTCTCAGAATGCCTCAGCTCTCTGGATGGAATGGCCTCACAGAACTCAGAGTGGATCTCCTGCTTTCTGTGACTGTGGAAGCTTCGTTAGCCATAACAGTGGGGATTTCGTGACTACGATATAACACTTGGAGTGTAACTGGAGCTCTGGGCAATCACTGTGTGCAGCTTCAGCAGCTCAGATTTCCCTAAAGACATGCATTGGGTCACTGCAAAGTGCTCTCTGCTCATATGGAGAACTGCACAGATTATTGTCTGGTTCTTGTGGATGGGTGGGTGGAGTGTGTAACTTAGCAATAATATCCTTGACTATAAATGGCCTAAACTCTCCAATTAAAAGTCACAGATTGGCAGGATCTGCTCCTGACTCTCCTTAAACATTGGTCACCTTGACAGGGAGGTGATGAGCAGTGATCACACTAAGGGATGATGTCATTCCCTCCCACCTGATGACATCTGAAGAGATCTATCACCCCCAGTGTAGTTGTTACCTTGGTGTTTGCAACACACCTGAGTACTAAACATAGCTTCCTGGCCAAACCTAGCACATACCTTTGAATCCCCACGGAAGGAAAAGACCTTCTATATTTCAAAGACAAAAGCCAGCAGAAGAAAAAAACCAACAAGTAGCTCCACAAATGACTAAAACTAAATGCATAACCTTGAGAAACATGAACAAGGGAGACAATATGATTCTCACCAAGAACATAGCATTTCAATATTAGAATCTATAGATTGACAAAAAGCCTGAGAAGGAATTTTAAAAAAATATGAAATGATCAAAAGATTACTTAAAATGAGAAGAATGAGAAGAAAATGCATGAATTAAGAAAATTCACATGGGCCTGGCAGCTAAAGTCCTCCCCTTGAACCTACAGGGATCCCATATGGGCACTGGTTCTAATCCTAGCAGCCCTACTTCCCATCCAACACCCTGCTTGTGGCCTGGGAGAGCAGTCGAGGACACCTCAAAGCCTTAGGACCCTGCACCCATGTGGGAGACCTGGAACAGGTTCCTGGCTCCAGGCTCCTGGCTTCGGAGCGGCACAGCACTGGCCATTGTGGTCTCTTGGGGAGTGAATCATCGGACGGAAGATCGTCCTCTCTGCCTCTACTCCTTTCTGTATATCTGACATTGCAATAAAAATAAATAAATCTTAAAAAAAGAAAGAAAATTCACACATGACATGCATGAAGAGAAATCTAACTGAAATACTAGAAATGACAAATACAAAATGACAAGTAAAAAGCACAGCAGAAAGCCCTACTACACTTGACAAAGCAAAATAAAGATTATCCATTCTAGAAGACAAATCTTCAAACATAACTTAGTAAAAAAAGAGTAAAAGGAAGAAGAAAAAGAAGAAATAATTGGAAAAATCAAAAGCAGTATCTAAGATGCATTGGATATTATCAACAATCTATCATGCATATCTTAGGAATGCCTGGAGGTGTGGAAAGAGAGAACGGATTAGATGATATATGAAGTGAAATAATAACTGAAAAAATTGATAATATGGAGAAAGAAAGGGGATATTATTCAGGTACAAGAAGCACACAGAACTCCTAATAAACGTGACTAGAAAAGATCCTCACCACAAAAGAATCAAACTTTCCACAGTAAAATCTAAAGAACACATTCTAAAATGCACAAGAGAGAAATGTGTGTGTACCTTCAAAGAGTCCCCAACTGACACTCACGTTTGCTCTCTCATCAGCACCCTTACAGGCTAGAAGAAAATCAGCAGACACAGTCCAAATCCTAACAGATTAAAAAAAGAAGAAAGAAAAGGCCCCCCAGCCAAGCTCTTATTTATAAATGAAGGTGAAATTAAGATCTCCCAAAGCAAGCAGAAATCGAAAGAATCCGTCACTACTCGTCAAGTCCTTTACATGCTGCTCAATGATGTGTTGCATACAGAAACAGAGAATGATAATCATCGATGAGAGAGAGCATGACGGCAGAGAACCTCTTAGCAAAATTTCAAAGGAAATCCAACGCAAATAATAGGAATATATATGGGGAAAACAACAGGGCCAAGTCATTACTTATCAACAATAACCTTGAATGTTAGGTATTCAATTTTAAAATTTGAAAATGAGATACAAAGTGACAGCATGGATTATAATAGGACCCATCCATTTAATGCTTGCAAAAGATACACCTCACCAACAAAGACACATAGACTGAAAGTGTAAGAACAGAAAAAGATTCTCTACTAAAAGAAAGCAAAAATGAGTAGGAGTAGCCATCTTGGTATAACAGAAAAGGAACATTAACATAAAAACTGCCAAAACAGAAATAGAAGGTTGCTGTGTATTGATAAGGGATCAGTGTAACTGAAAGATGCGCTCTGGTCAATCTGTATATTCCCAATACCAGATGCTAATGGATCTAAAGGGAGACATGGATTCTAATGCAATACTAATGGGACACTTCAAATCCTACATTTATCAGTTGACAGTTCAACCAGACCAAAATAATCAACCAAGCTAATCTATACTGCAGACCAAACAGACCTAATTGGTAGACACAGAGACATTGCATCATATAGCAACGGAACGCACACTTTTTCTTTCAGCAGGTCATAGCACTTCCTCTAGATCATATAGAAGACCATAAAGTAAGTCAGAACAAATTAAAAATGTTGAAGTTAAAGCAATTAGTGCCTACATCAAAACATTGGGAAGGCACCAAATAAGTGACCTAAGAATGCATTGTAAGGATGTAGAAAAAATAGGCAAACCCCAAATTAGAAAACAAATTAGAGAATAAACAAAAGAGACCATAAAAAAACATACAAAAGAACTGTGAAATTAACTTTTTTTTTAATACCACTGGGCCAACTAAGCAAAAACAAAGGGTAAAGAGCCAGATGAATAAAATCAAAGATATTACTAAGGACATCACAGACATACAAACAATCATCTGGAATAACTACAAAAAGCTAACGTCCAGCAAATTAGAAAGTCAAAAAGAAATAGATTTTTGGAAACATGCAATTTACCAAAATTGAGTCATTATGACACAAAAAACCTAAGTAGGCCAATCACCAGGATGGCAATTCAATCAGTAATAAAAATCTTCCCAAGAAATAAAAACCCATAACCAGATAATTTACTGATGAATTCTACTGGACTTATTAACGGTAACTAACTCCAATTCTTCTCAAAATATCCAAAATAACTGAAAGGGATGGGATTCTCATAAACTCCTTCTACGAGACCAGCCTTCATTACAAAGCCAGAAAAAGTGAAAGAGAACTGTAGAGTAAAATCCCTGGTGAAAATAGATGCAAACATCCTTATGAATACAAACTAATTGAACCCAACAGTACAACAGAAACAATCACCCAGGCCAAGTGGGATTTATCCTTGGTAGCAAGGTAGTTCAAAATACATAATCACATTAAAAAGCTGAAGCACAAACATGACTGCGTTAATAGATGCAGAGAAAATTTTGATAAAATAGAACACCCTTTCATGATAAAAAAAATACTTAGAAAAAACTGGGTATAGAAGAAACATTCCTTAACACAAAAGGTGGTACATAACAAATTCACAGCAAGCATCATATTGAATGGAGAACACATGGAAACATTTCCATTGAGATCTAGAACCAAAGATGCCTACTTTCACCATTGCTAGTAAATATAATCACAGACATTTTAGTCAGAATCATTAGGCAAGAAAAAGAAATCAAAAGGATACAAATTGGAAAGGAAGAAG